GTGACATGGGGGCGGGTACTAGTACGGTCACGACGAGGACCGAAAGGGGGCGGAAGTCGGGCCGGGAGCATACCTGTCGAGTGCATGGTGAATGGCAGAAGCCGCGGTGCCTGCATAAGCGCGCGATCGGCAGCAGCTAGCACCGCCGCATAGGCGGCAGGACGGTGTACTGGCACGACATCCGTCGTGGTGACGTGTTGCTGCGGCGTTCGTACGTCGCGTCCGTGTGTTAATAGGGCCCTCGCTGTCGACTAAGTGGAGCCCATACCGCATGACCTGCCACGGGTGGACAGCGGTGACAACATGTTAGAAAGGAACGGGATATATACAATATATGAACGGCTGCAAACGTGTGTGCAGACACACGGCAGCGGCAATCCGGAAGGGATGACAGACAGTCAGACGGTCAGACGGAATAGCGCAGGTGCAATCATATAACACGGAGTGACATGGGGGCGGATACTAGTACGGTCACGACGAGGACCGAAAGGGGGCGGAAGTCGGGCCGGGAGCATACCTGTGGAGTGCACGGCGAATGGCAGAAGCCGCGGTGCCTGCATGGTCGCGCGATCGGCAGCAGCCAGCACCGCCGTATAGGCGGCAGGACGGTGTACTGGCACGACATCCGTTGTGGTGACGCGTAGCCGTGGCGGCCGAAATGTGGATCCAGTGGCGCTCATACGTCGGGTCCGTGTGTTATTAGGGTCCTCGTTGTCGACCAAGCAGAGTATACATCGCAGGACCTGCGATGGGTGGACAGCGGCGACAACATGTTCGAAAGGAACGGGATATATGCAACACATAAACGGCCGGAGACGGCAAAGGCAGCGGTACGGGAATAGGTATACATGGCACCATAGCAGCGTACGTGGAGCATCACAACTGCCAACACCGGATACACGACCGCCGTGCGGAAATAGAGACTGGCGGCGAAGAGGTGCCGAAGGGTGTCGGAGAGGCATGGAGGCACGCTAACACGATCACATATGTACCTGCTATACACGCCAGAGCCGCTTCAGGCAATAGGCATTTCGAACGGACGGACGAGCGGCAAGAGCGACGGATGGGACCCCGTATGTGTCAGCGCAGGAGACTGCAGACAGACGGCAGTGGCAATCCGGAAGGAATGACAGACAGTCAGACGGTCAGACGGAATAGCGTGGGTGCAATCATATAACACGGAGTGACAGGAGGGCGTGTATTTATAATCCAGACACAAGACTGTGCGGGCAGTGCATCGCATCGCACCTCATCTGATGCGCCGACACATATGGACGCCAACTCATCGCACACTTAGCGCGCGCGATGGAGACCTCGCAGGAAAAGCGCGGCATGGAAATGCTCGGCACCAGGAACCACGATACACGCAAATATGCAACGCATTGCAGCGACGACGCGTGACGGTTGTGCAGAAGCAGGGCCGGATATCGCGAAAACTCGCTATGTCGAAAAAGCAAGAGAAATAATAAGCAGCAAGATGAACACCGGTAATACAGACTAATTATCGCGGCCGTTAAGCACTTGCTTTGACACGCAATATACATACATCTAAAATAAACAGTTCTACACAAAACATGTACAAGGAGAACTGACATAAAATAGTTTGCGCGTGCATAAAAAGAAACGACACCAAAGTTGTCGTACACATGTTAACATGACGTGATTCCGCGGACATCGTGCACACGTATGCGTGGACGCCGTCACAACGGCGAGTCGCTATGTCGTAGTAAAGGATGTACGTAAATAAAAACGAAAACCGACACAAAACGAGGTCATGCAAAACAACGTATGTCGTACACTTGCTGGCACGTTCTCGTGCGACGGACAAGCACTAACGTGCCGCAACGCACATATGTGCGTTGCGTCATAATGCACACTTACCGCGCCTAACGGAGGACAGTGAAGAGAACAGCACGAAGGCTTGCCGGAGCAGCAGCTTCAACACATGCAAACCTGCACGACAGCGCAAAGGTCGGGTGAAGACAAGCCCGGTAATCGGGGCAATTCGTTATGTCCAACCATCATATACGCGAGTGGGACACGCACAGCAGAGCATGCTTCAGGGAGAGCGGGGAAGCGGCAAGAGGTGGATACGAATGAGACACGCACGAATGTCAAACCGGTACAGCATTCGTGCGTCAACACCCTAACTTATACCAGCGAAACCGGTCATACCGTTCATACACTCACCAGTGTAGATGCGAGGGACGCCGCCAACTTGTGTGGGAGTCGAACCCACAAGTGCACGGAATGCACCCAGCCCTGCAAGCGTGTCGTTGCGCGGCTAGACAGCCGCTCAACGCTGGCATTTAACGCCATCCAGGGGCGGCTAGATGGAAGTGAAGGGAGGGGACAGGTGCAAGCCATAGCAAAGTTGGACGACGTGCAGCGGACGGCAGCGCAAGTGGATGAACACGCAAGAACGAGTCATTCCTGCAGAGCCGTGATGAACGTTGTTCGACCTTCTGTCTTGGTGGTGATGGTACCGGTGACGGTGAACGAGTCGTAAGCAGCGTACGCCATACGATCATTATCGTCTGCAAAGCTGGCGCTGCCGAAGAACTCGTCGTAGTTCGGCAACTGTTGCATGACGGCGATGCTGTCAGTGCACACCGGATAACTGCGGCTGCCGATTGTGAGGACGAGCGGGAGGACCGGTAGTGAGCCGACTACAGTGACAGAAGTGGGGTTGGGTGACAGGGTGGCCGAGGCGTGTGGACCATCCGACGGTAAAACAAGGGCACTGCGGCTACGCTGCTCCCAAGCCAATACCATATCAGTCGTGTCGGCGGGCACGGTGGCTGCGGTAGTTCGCTGAACAGCCGCCTGGAAGGTGTGCACTCGTTTGGGAGGGCGTTTGCCGGGGGCACTCGCTGCTGCTACAAGCGAGCCGCTGAGGAAGACGCTATTCATATAAGCTTTGCTATTGGAGGGGCTGATCTTGGCACCATACACGTAAAGGGGCGTGCTGCTATCGGCCGCTGCTTGTAGCTGAGTGACGAAGTCGTCGGGAGCGGATTCCCTGATGGCGAGCTCCACGCGTCCGGCGTCGGGACTGTCACCGTTGCCGCACGCGACCCACGCCTTAAACTTGCGGAACGGCCCGCCCCGGAACATCCCGCCGTGTGGGATGAGCAGGAGGGCGCTGCCATCCGATGCGTGCTTGTCTTCGGGGCGGGCCCTGTCGCTGCCGACATCGTAAACGGGGAACCGAAGCCTGGCGCTGTAGAGCATTGGGACAGCGGAGGAGGGCTCCACGGAAATCCGCGTCGCTGAGGAGACTTTAAACTGCCCCACCGTCACCCCAGCGAAACGAGAAGTTATGAAAGGCAGCAGGGAAGCTGCATCCACGTTGGCGAACGTCACGCGGTGGCCGAACGCGTGGCTGCTCTCCAGCCTGCCGAGGATGACATCGTCAATCTGCATAATTACTATCCCCTGGCCGGCGGTATTCACGCCAGCGATGAAGCTGCCGTAGCGGCTCTGGGCGCCGGCAAAGAGGCGGTCCTCATTCGTTTCTGTGGGGCCGGCCGTAAAC